GCGCCTGATTCTCTGATCATGGCTGGGGGGCAGGGCAAAGGCGGCTCTTAGCTCCCCGCTGGGTTTCCGATCACTGTCAGTGGCAGGGGGCTTCTTCTTGCTTTCCCTTTAGCCTCCCTGCATTGTGCCTACATATGCAAATTAACCGCCATCTTGTTGGCAGTTAACTGCCAATCTTAGTTGGCAGTTAATTTGCATATAGCCCTGATTAGCCAATGAAAAGGGTAGCATTGTACGCCAATTACCATTTTTCTCTTTTATTAGTGTAGATCTGTCTTATTGGCGAGATTGTAATTTCCCGAGGGCTTGTAATTTCCTTACAAGCATATCTACAGCGATCAGCCAGTCCATAAACAAATTGTAGGAACTCAGTATTTTTGGAATGAATGAAAGCAGAGAGCTTCAGGAGCGGCTATTTGTTTATTTATTTGTGGTTTTCACTATATTGTCCCCAACCAAGTTATTCTCATACGGATTTAAAGAATCACCTTTGTTTTAGGGTCGGTCAAGCGTTCAATCAGATTGGGATTTTACATTTGTAATGTTATCTTTAATCACTTCTAGCACTTTTAAATATTTAGCCTTGACTTCCACTTCATTTGTTTACACAGGTTCCTTCTTAAAACTGAGCTTGGCATGTACAGTTTTCTACAGGCTCTCTGATTTTCATCTTCATCAGCATAGTCATAAATGTATTTGACAATTATGTTTTAATGAGAAAGAAAATTTTTAGGAATCATTGAAAATGCTGTTTCCATAATTTACTGGCCTAGTGCAAAGATGTTTATCGGCATTGTTTTACACTCTGATTATGTGGGGGGACATGACATAGGGATTGGATGATACAAGGAAAAGAGTACTGTGTCTAATTGACCAGCGTAAGTACAGAGTTCTAAAGGGTTTGCCTGCCTTTTAAAAATCTCAGACCGATATAATTTACCTTTTAATTCCGACAAATTAGTGAAAGAGGATCAGGTTATTTGGCTAAACTATTTCTTCAACTCCTGAATATTATGGTGCCAGGGTTGAAGTATCATTTCAGATAAGTATTTTAAATTAAACAATGAAATTCTTTGTGCAATAAATTAGCTTAAATTCAAAATTTGAAGTTTATGTTTGCCAAGGATAACTCTGATTCTTTGCTTAGCTCACTGTGCTCTTCAAAAGTTTATGTTTCTTTTAAAAATATTAGAAATGCTAGAAATGTTCAAGATTTCAAAATATAATATTGAATAGAAAAGCATACATTATAATATTACAACTATAACAAATTAGGAGAAAAACTTTCGGTGAATTCTGCTTTGCTCAAAATGCACAGACTGCTTTTATTAGATACAAAACATTAAACAAATTAAAGTGTGTTCTTGTAAACTTTGAAAACTAAATTAATACTGTTAATACTATTTTATAAGCCTTGACCTCTGTTTTAAATACACATTTAGAATGTTTATCAATAAACAAATAATACCCTAGAGGTATTATTTGTCCCATTTTTCAGATGAGATAATTGAAGCATTGAAAGTTGAGCAGCTCACTCAAGACCACACGTTGTGTAGAAGAGCATAGAAAATCAATATGGAACAAGACTAGAGGTCTTTAAATCTATAATAATAAAAGCATAATATGCTAATTAGTCCGGATGTCCTTCCGGACATCCTTCCGAATGAAGCTGGGACTGGGGCTGCTAAGGAAGCCCGGGTCCCAGGAGCCAGAGGGAAGCCGGTGCCAGCAGTGGGGGAAGGAAGGCCTAATCTTGTACGAATTTCGTGCATCAGGCATCTAGTGCTTTTATAAGATGATTTGGTTTCCTTAAATGATGGCCACTTATAAAAGAGAGTGATTCCAGTTAAAAAAATTAAGGATGCATTGAAAAGGAATGGAGTTTAACAAAATGAGGAGACTCCAGTGGAAACATTGAAATAGTATGGGAAATTGATGATAAATATCTGAACTAGGGACAACACTAAAATCCTGGCTGAACTAATGGGGAGAAGTGAGAGATGAATCTAGTTAGTTTAGATTTCAACCATGCTGTCCAAGAAGGTATATTTTTCCCACCAAATTTGCTTTAAGTTTTGAAATGTTTAATATATAAGTGCTTAAGTTTGGATTACCTATATTTTGAACCATTTAATTCCCAGTCAATATTTGATAACTAATCATGATGTTCATTATCTTCACAATTTGCTCTTGAGCAGCTGTGTATATGAGGTCCTTCTTTCTTTTCTTTCTTTTTTTATCCATCTTCCTTACTTTCCCTGACTTGTGTAATTAATCTCTATATTCTGCTCCTAAAGACCTACTCATTTACTTTCTAAAAATATTTAGAGTATCTACTGTCGTGTCCATTCCTTTATAATCACTTTCTATCTTCTAGATTATTTTCTTCTAGTTTAGAAATTCATTACCCTCATTGTATTCAAATTTTCCCTTAATAGAATATTTCTAACCTTATGATCATCTCTCCTTTCACATACACATACCTACTCAGGTTGACTTTTCAGACTTTTGGTATTAAGGGTGTTATTTATATTAATGTCAATAACCCAAATTTAAAAGATAACAATTTTGAAAATTAAAAATGATTTCTAAATCAAAATAAGGATGCCAAAGAGACTGAAAATAATAGTTTGAAACATGATTATTTTAATATGTATACAGGGAAATAGTAAATTCACCAGCAGAAAAAAAAATACCAAAATTAACATTTTACAGATTTTTAGTCTCAAAGCACAATACATTTTTCATAGAAACAAATATATCACCATTATAGGTACCATAATATGGCAACATTTATACACACAGCCATGTACCATTAGGAAAATCAGTGGCAATGGTGATGCAATACATTAGTTCATCTTTGTTCAACGTTTTGCTATGATACTTCCTGGCCCGCAGGAGTATTTGCCAGGATACAAAAGAAAATATGATGTCAGTGAGAACAACACACAAAAAGCTCTGGCTACCCATGCTTACCCCTTCGTTTACTGTGTGATACAAGGAATGTTTTCCACCATCGCTCTGACTTCATTGCATTTACTACAAAAGCCATTCCCAGGGAATCAAACAGTCTAACAGATTTATGTGGATATTAAGGAATTTTTTTTATACAAACAAGAAGTATAGCACCAGGACTTAATATCCTATATGCCTAAACTTAACAGAAGAAAAAAACTATACAGATACTAAGTGGAAAATAATTTGAGATTATTTGGAGTAGGTAATGGCATAGTATTAAACTGGGGAGAAATGTAATAACACCGTTTCTTTCATTTTAGAGTTGTTATTTTTGTCACTATTGTTTTTAAATGTACCAGATGATTGTCTGAGGGCCATTCACATTCAATGTTTAGATTCATGTTATTAGTGGCATATACAAAGCACCATATAATATAACATATAAAATGTAGAACCACCATGACTATGTAATTAACTGTAGAAATAACTGCTAAGAAAATATAGCAATATTTAACACAGGATTTCTAAAACCATTACATATCCATTACTTTTTCCAAAGCTAATAATGTCCCATGTTTTATTTTACAGACTTTGTGTATCAAGATTTATATGCATTTGGCATTTTTTTTGGGGGGGGGGAGTATGGGGGCAGCTGAAAATAGTTGCGACCTTCTGTACAGTAATGTTACAGTTTTATACACTTCAGAAATATGGCATCTGGGATAGTCTTCACGCTCCTCTTCCAGGTGTTCCGTCTCACACAACAGCAAATACTCTGAAAGCCTTTCCTCCTGGAGGATTCTGTAAACTGCAAAAATATAAATAGTACGTTGATGTCACCTCTACATATAATCCCTCAAATAAATCATGCTTGCTTATGACAGTCAAGTAAGCCGCCCTGTGAGGCCAGATGGTCACCTGTCTTAGGCTGCTGTAATTTATAGTTATTGGAAAGCTAGAATGAGGATGACATAATTCTTTTTATTTTAATTTTTAAAATATATATTTGTTATTTTTAGAAAGGAAGGGAGAGAGGGAGAGCGGGAGGGAGGGGGAGAGAGAGAGAGAGGGAGGGGGAGAGAGAGAGAGAGAGAGAGAGAGACATCATTCAGCTGCCTCCTGCAAGCCCTCTACTGGGGATGGAGCCCGCAACCCAGATGAGTGCCCTGACTGGGAGTCCTACTGGTAACCTTTGGTGCCCACAATAATGCCTAACCAACTGAGCTATGTGGGCCAGTCAGGGAGTGAGACATTTTACAGTCTTCTGCTGAGGACTCTTATTCCATAACTTGTGTGTGTGTGTGTGTGTCTGGCATGGGTTCTGTAGGTTTGCACCTTTGTGACCAATAAAACCTTGAGAATGATGACACAATTCTTTAAATCTTGGTTATATGCTGGGCTGCAAGTTCACTAAAGAAACTTAAGATGCATAGTAGTCAAAATAGTATTTTCTATCGACCTTCACCGATTCCAGATCATGTTTTCATACATTACCACCTGTGCTTCCAACAGAGCAGCTCGCAGCTGCAGTGCAGTTTCCCTGGGGGAATACTGAGATGCTGCTATTCAATGCTGAGACCCAGCTTCACTGCCTGACTGCCAAGGTCAGATATGAACGGCAAGTTAAAAAGATGGTGCTATTTAAGCAATACTCTGCAGCCCTAGCATTAGCATTCCCAAAGTCTGACAAAATTTAAATTTTATGGCTATCATATTCATTAAGATTTTTTAACATCTACAGTTTCAAGAAAACTCTTAGTGAGAAAATTTAATGGTCAAATCTGGAAGGTTCTAAGAATTTTTTCATTAAAATGAAAACACACACACACACACACACACACACACACACACCACTCAATCTCATTTTGGAGATATTTTAAGACAAATGAAAAGCAATACAGAATCATGCATTTTACTCTTTCTTAAATTACTTATATTTTATTTGCCAATATCAATCAAGGGATGTTTTGTTTAAATGCCTAAAGTTTAAAACATATTAATAATGCCATTAATCATTATTCATTCTAATCAAATGTATGCTTTTGAAGTCTGATCGTGTACAGGATTTTTTTAAATGACAATATTTACACAACTTTTTTAAGCATATAGTTTTCCTTTCTTCATGATAAAAAGGACTTTGGAGACCAACACAATAAATGCTAAAAGGGAGACAAAGTAAAATTCCTTGTATATGTTTATTCACGTATAAGAAAAGGGGAGAATTTTAGAGTATATTAAAAAAAGGTGTGCACACACCACAAACATAGGAGCCAGGTTTTTCACACAAGCTGATGGCCACTTGAAAGCCATTTTATTCAGAGGACACAGACTGACTAAGTTCTAGAAGTGAATGTGTTTTCTTTGTACACAGTGATAATACTGGGAAAATGCAGACTTCTGAGCTTACAGATCTAGCATAAACCTGAGCTCTGAGACTGGCCAGTTACATGGCCTTGGACATACCACGTATCCTCTCTGAGCCTCAGTTAATCACCTTTATAGTGCTGTTGGTGGGACTGCGTTAATGCACTTGAAGTGCCCAGCAGCATCTGGGGAATTCGTAGCAGATTCTCAGAAATAAGTATTCTCAGTCTTACTGTTTAAAAGTAAAGTTAAGGAATATGACAGGTGCCCTGGCTGGGGGACCTCAGTTGGTTGGAGGGTTGCCCCATACACCGGGTTCAATTCCCCGTCAGGGCACATACCTAAGTTGTGGGTTGGATCCCTAGTCAGGGCATGTATGGGAGGCAACTGATCCATGTTTCTCTTGCGCACCAATGTTTCTCTCTTTCTCTCCCTCCCTTCCTCTCTTCCTTAAAAATAAAAAAATTAATAAAAACATATCCTGGGGTGAGGATTAAAAAAAAAAAGAAATATGACAGGTATAATGAAACCACACCGCTCAGCTCAGGTTATGAAACTGCTTATCAGACTCTTATAACTCAAGAATCGACTATATAGCGTATCTGCTTAAGGAGACCATAAGCCAGGCTGTAGAGAAGTCACCTTGACATAGTCTCACCTGAAAACAGATGCTAAATACGAATCAGTCTTTTCATGGCGGCGGCACCCCGATGGTTCTGTGGAAGGCAATCCTGGCCCTGCAGGGCACACCCTTCGGTAGCCTTTAAAGCAGTGGTTCTCAACCTTCCTAATGCCGCGACCCTTTAATACAGTTCCTCATGTTGTGGTGACCCCCAACCATAAAATTATTTTCGTTGCAACTTC